TCAGAGCCCAGCTGGTTTACTTTACTGGGACCAGTAAAAGTCCTATCCGTCCTCTGGATCTGCTCTGGTTTATTCTCAGGCTTCCAGCTAAAGAACCAAATCTAACCAGTTCCCTCTCCAAACCAGCCAGAGACCCGGATGACGCCCCTCTGGGAGCCATTCAGACCATAGAACAACCAGTAGGAGCCTATCAGGACCTATTAGGCTATGCTAGGGCTCCGTGTTTTGGCCTATTAGGACCGATTAGGCTCCCTGTTTGGCCTTATTCCGCCTCCACTGTGTGGATCTGATCAGGAATGCAGACGTAAACCTGAGAAATGCGGCAAAAGCGACTCAGGGTTAAGAACAAACGAGGAGAGGAACCCACGTGACGGAGGTCTGCATTCTTAGAGTTTTACAGCACATTTCTGGGCTGAAAGCTAACCGGAAAATCCCTCTTTGTTTCCAGATAAAGTGTTTTTCATACTCTGGTGGAACAATAACTGCTGGTTTTGCAGAGTTTGTCTCTTCTTTGCTTTACAGCTCCACACTGATCTGTTTAAAACACAGACAGACGCCGTCTCTCACTCTGAGCCTGTTCTTACACCTCTGCTTTAGTCTCTGAGTCACATTAACGCCAAAGGAAGGAGCTGAACACTGAAAAAAATAAAAAAAAAGTCGGCCATTTTGATTAGGTCATGTAACTAGCAGCTTTCTGAGGTGGAAACCAAACTTTACTGTCTATACGAAATCAGTGGACAAACAATGTCCTAACCATAACCCTAACCCTAAACCTAAACCCTAACCCCAAATATGTCCCCTTACGATATGTTTTAGACTGGAGTTTGATGCTATGTCTGAAAAAATGTTTGGACAGCATTTCTCTGAGTTGTTGCTATGGCGATTCCCTCCTTTTTCAGGCAGCAGCCATGATGGAATGTTTCTCTGTGCGGTTGCTACGGCGATTCCTTCCTTTTTCTGGGGTGCGTTAAATATTTTCGGAGGTCTTTTTGAGACGTACAAAAATTAGATTTTGGCCTAAGTGTTTGCTGGACTTCTACATAACTCAAGCTAAACAGTTAGCATTAGCGGCTGCTAAAGGAAACAGGGAATCAGCAGATGTACCAGGAGGAATAATTCCTCACATCCTTCCGTTTCCTGCTCTGAAATCTGAGCTCGGTGAGCTG